GTTTAGTGGTTTCACTTAATTTTCTACAGATAAAATCAAGTTAGTTGCCAGTTGAAACAACTGAAATGTTTATTAAAGTATTTCAGTCATTTTCATCCACCAGAACTAAGACATGTCCTTATGTGTTAAATAAAACGGAATCATTTTAAGGTATTAGGTAAAATTTGATCAAAGCAACAACAGATAGTCTTCATTAGTAGCTTCAGATCCAGTTTAAATCATGAGGAAAAAAACAAAGCACAAGATAATGCGTCAAACTCCTGATGTTTGTGTTAATACCAATAAGTGAATGGGGGAAACAGGTCACGAGGTCAAACAGTGTATTTAAGGCCTCTGCAGCAGAGCAGGTAGGAGGTGAAGAGGTTATTCTTAGAATTCATTCATCTTCGTTCATTTCTGACTCACTGAATGAAATAAAAATGTCCCATTAATGTCCTTGGACTTGTGAAGGCTGGATTAAAGTTAAAGTCCCATTAGTTGTCACACACACTGATGTGTGTGTGAAATTTGTTCTCCGCATTTGACCCATCCCCTGGTGGAGCGGTGAGCTGCAGACACGGCCGCGCTCGGGAACCATTTGGTGGTTTAACCCCCCAATCCAACCCCGTAATGCTGAGTGTCAAGCAGGGAGGCATTGGGCCCCATTTTTTTCTAAGTCTTTGGTGTGACCCGACCAGGAATCAAACCCTGATCTCCCAGTCTCAGGGCGGACACTCTACTACTAGGCCACTGAGCTGGAGACTCCTTTCCTTCCGGCTCTTGGAGAGTACAGACGCTTTTTTCCTCCTCTCCTCCCTATCTTGTCCCAAGGCTCTTTGTCTGTCTCTGGGTGTACGACTGCTTCTGCAGTTTTTTCTGGAAACTGGGAATAACTAAAATGGACCTGGTCAGCTGGTCTCTGAACGTGACTGATACATTTTTTTCAACAATGAGAACGGGTGAAGGGGCTCCCGGGTGCCCCTCTGGGACAGATCCAGTTGGGCATATCATGGACTCCTGGAAACAGTGGAACTTGATCTGCCTCTCTCAACTGTCTGTAGAGGATTCTGAGGACATCTGGATATTCCTGGTGTTGGTGTCAGGTTTCCTGCTCTTTGGCCTGGGAGGCTTCCTGGCTTACCGGAAAATTAACGAGCTGTTGAGGAATATTGTAGCTCTCCCAGAGCTCATGGATGGATTACACCGCGCTGTGAATGCACAGACTCATATAACTGTCGAGATGAATCGTTAGCTTGGAACTTTGGCTGAGATTCATGCGTTGGCACAAAAGATGGATGCCATCAAGGAGAAAGTGGACAAATAAGCACGGATTGGGATAGATTAATTTACGCCATTATTGGGATTTTGAGAGGTTGAGGACGAACGGAACTTTAAGACACAGAAGAAATTATCTCTGTCTGGCCCCAAAACAATTTCTAATCTGAATCTGGTGCCCTTGAGCCTGTAAGCCTGTAACAAATACTCCCCCCTCAGAAGAAATGTGGAATGCTGCCGTCGCAACGGCAACTCTGTCTCCTTTCCCAACCTCGGCGGCACTGCGGGCTGTGAAGGCCCCCGAATTGTTCCAGGAGTCACTGTGCCCCCCAAACCTCAACGACCTCGCTCCCCTGTCCATACTAAGGTGACGAGCGCTGCTTATCGTGGCTGCAGGGACTGACTTGTGGAGAGTCCCAAAACCCTACCACCCCACCTAGTGGACACTTATGTTGTGTGATGTCTGAAGTCTGTTGCATTTCTGTCCGAGGTGTTTTTTGCATAGCAAAGCTGCCCTCCCGGTGAAGGGTAACTCTGAAGTGCCTTTTTTCCCCTCCACCTGAACCAATCCTCATATAAACCCTCTGATCTCTATTAAGGTAGCGTGACTCGGGTTGCGAATGACCACAGTCACCAATTCTTGTCATGTGTCTTTGCCTATGTATGTCTGATCTCTGAATTGTGTGTACTGAAACTCTAATTTCCCTCTGGGATTAATAAAGTATCTTTGAATTGAATTGAATGTCAGAGCACCGTGCTCAGACATTCACTCCTTCTGATCAGTTTGCTGCTGGTGAACCACAAAGTGGTTTTATCACTCAGGAGATATTAGATGAAGATCTCTGAAGCTTATTATTAAAATACTGTGTGGTTTCCAAGACAAAATGCCAAAACTGAAAGCTAAATAAATTTCAGACAGTCAACAAAAACGTCAGAAATTTCAAGTTGTAAAGAAATGATGACTTAACTGGCTCAATGTCACAGACAACAAGTTTGTTATCTGACAGGAAAACTCAGTGAAATCAACAACCAGAACAAATGATTTACAATCTGTATGGAATTAGAATTAGTTCTCCAGCTCATAATGCTTTTGCCTGTCTGTGTGTTCTTTTTGGTTGTTTGTGTTGAGTCAGGAAAGGAAAACCAACTGGCCATTAAACTTTAGCATCCATCTTCCACATCAAACATTAAGGGCGTGGTTTACTTGTTAATTCATTACAGTTGCTGTTACAACCAAGCCCCCACAATGCCGCTCTAAAAATGGTCCCATCCCGGAAGTAAGAAAAATTGCAGTTCCACCCTCATCCGCTGGGGGCTGGTACCAGAAGCGAGCAAATCCTCATTGACTCCCATGTTAAAAATGCCGATTTCACAGCAGAAATAAACATGTTTACAGCCTGGTACCAGAACATGTTTTTTGTCTAAATTATCTAGTTTACACTCATGACAACTCTGAGGGGGGTGAATTTTTTTCTCACTCTTCTGTTTAAGTGTATTGAAAGCCTAAAATTCTGTATAATTAATGAGCATCCGACACACGTGACCGCCGCCTCAGACCCACGTGACCACAGAGCTAGCTCCGTGGAAAGGCCTCAGTACAGCCTCGGTCCCTCCTGGAAACTGTGTCGGGATTTTGAGTCTCTGTTCTTGAGAATTCTGTTTTGGATATTATTGGTGCAATTGTTGGACAAAATGACTTGCTGTGGTATTAATTGCACTAATAGAGCGTCCAAGGAGTCTCCACTTCATTTTTTTCGGTAAGTTAAAATCTATATTTGTATTTTATGTCACTGCTGCCTAGCTGAGTTTACCGAAGTAGCTAGCTAACTATCAGTTTAACATGTAGCATGTACTGTTTAACCATGAAATTTAAATGTAAAATACGGTAAAATAATTAATAGGGCATATTTCGATGGGTAAAACCCAGTGCATTTAAGATAAAAATGGGTTGAAATATGACGGAGCGCGCCGCTTGGAGGGACACCTGTGCTCCATTCTTTCATCCGGTAATCCCCAGCGGTCAGGCCGGGCAGGCTGACCGATGCGGCGCCTCACTGCTGCGGGCTGACCGGAGAAATACTGCAGCTCGTTGAGAAGTCTATAGGGCATACAGCGTTTCCCTTAAATCCCACCGCCACGCCGACAAGATCCCAAGTTTCTTTGTTTTTGTTGGCGCTGTTTACCGAAGAAGCAGCGGGAACACCAGCAAGTTTCATCAGACTTGTAAAGTTAGTTTTTGCAGGGGACCCCCTATATTTTACCGCTCCCTCCTGCAGTCTTCCCCTATTAAAATTTAAAATGTGTAACTTTATGTTTTGGGATGAATGACTAATATTCATGTTAACTAAAACGTTAGGTATTTGGGGGGAAAAACAAAATAATAAACATTATACAGATGTCAAAGAAATCAAACTGTAATTAAACTATATATTTTCAAAGTCTCGATTCTGGATAAAATCCAACAACATATGCTTTATAAATAAACACTACACATGGCTTTTACACACACACACACACACATTGCATTGTGATTTCTTAGTAAATATTCTATTTGGCGAGAGATAAACTTTATTGTATTTATCCTAGTGAATCTATAATTTAACGGGTAAACTAGCAGTAGCACATCCAACATCAAAGAAAGTAAAATGTTATTATCAGGAGAGGGAGAATGTTTAAGTGGTTAGCAGGAGTGTGCTAGACGATGGCACCCTCCATGAGGCCACCACAGCTCAGCAGAACACCATTGTAGCTTCTTCTGGGGAGAAAAACACTTACAGAAAAAATAAAGTTAACAGCTGAAATAGCAGGAAATGATACAGTTAAAGAGCAGATTGTAGAAGAAAGAAACCCCTGGGTTAAACTGGTCTGTCTACTGCATAATGCTGAACTCTAACATGTGTCCTCAGGGAAGGACCTGATTGGTGTCCAGAACCTGCTGAAGAAGCACGAGGCTCTGCAGGCTGAGATCACAGGTCATGAACCTCGCATCAAGGCTGTCACCCAGAAAGGAGAGACCATGGTGGAAGAAGGTAGAGCAGGTCTGGTCCTGACATGTTTCTGAGGTGTCTGCAGGTTCTGGCTCACTTTTTTTGGGTCCAGGTCACTTCGCTGGTGAGGAAGTGAAGACTAAACTGTGGGAGCTTCATGGACGTTGGGACACGCTGAAGGCCAAGGCGTCCCAGAGGAGGCAGGACCTGGAGGACTCTCTGCAGGCCCAGCAGTACTTTGCAGATGCTATTGAGGCCGAGTCCTGGATGAGGGAGAAGGAGCCCATCGTTGGAAGTCCAGACTAAGGGAAAGACGAGGACTTGGCCGAGGTATGGAAGTCCCTTCCTGAGAAACTCCAATCGCTTTTCTTTGCTCTCTTTCCAGTCCTTCATAATTAGTGTTTCTGTATTTGTCATTTCCTTCGGTTGTCTACTAGACGTCGTTGCTCGTTTGAGCGTCTCATGGGTTAGGGGTAGAAGTGCTGGCCTCGCACAGGAAGTGATGACAAACGTGTTCCCGGCGCTCTTATTTCAAACGGTTTACAAGCTGTGATGTGTGTTCCCGCTGCAGAGCAGCCATGACACGTGGCAGCCGGCAGAAGGCTCACGCTTTTCCACTAAACACCCGCAGAGCTGCGGTGAACTGAGCAGGGTTTGTTTTACGGTGGCGGATCCGATTGGACCATCGCTGCGAGAAAGCTCCACTTGTGTCAGACGAGCTGAAGGTTCTGATGTTCTGCTCCACAGGCTCTCCTGAAGAAGCACGAGGCCCTGATGTCGGACCTGTCGGCTTACGGCAGCAGCATCCAGGCCCTGAAGGAGCAGGCCCAGTCCTGCAGGGTGAGTTCAGAACCCTCGGCCCGTCAGAACATTCTTATCCACCACGTTCTAACACCAGACCTGTTAACCCGACAGCAACAAGGTAATCAGCAGGTGCTTTTGTCCTGCAGGATCTGAAGGCCAACGAGTCCCGCCTGAGGGACATCAACAAGGTGGCATCTGAACTGGAGTCAGAAGGTCTGATGGCTGAGGAGGCTCCTATGGTTCAGGCTCAGGTGAGCGTCACCTGTCTGCAGCAGCTGGTCCCTCTCACTTCCTGGTTTAACTCTGCTCGTCTCTGTTTGTAGCAACAAGAACATCTGGGTTCTGCTCCTGGAAAGGTGCGTGTTGTCCTCCGCCTCCACCAGAACCAGACGTGGTGTTTTTGTTACCACTCATTTGTTTGTTTACAGGATGAAGCCGACTCTAACCCCGGCTTTCCACTGGAGCCGTCAGCAGCGCGAGTCGGCCGCGTCTCAGGAGCATCATGTCGCGGCCTTTACGCGCCGGTTCTATTTTCTACGCGCGACGCCTCTGAAACGGGTCAAGTTCGACATTTTTGGGGAAGGAAAGACAGGAAATCGGACGCGGAAATTGAGAGAAGCTACCGAGATTTTCAGAATAAAGAACGTACTGCCTTCCGGTTGCTTTACTTTTAAAAAAAGTTACTAACTGTGCGGCCCCGTGAGAAGTTATCACCTAGCTAGCAGTCTCCTTTGTTTTTCAGGTCCGTATTGGCGATTATAAAACGGACAGAACATAAAACACAAACCATGTTGTAGTTTTCTCCTGCTTGTTGTTGTGTTTACTGACGAAGTCACTCGTGTGACTTCGTGCTCGGTCGGTGACAGCTGCTCCCCTGCTGCTTCGCGTCTCGTGGGAAGGGCCAAGCAGCAGCTTACGCGAGCAAGACGTACTGCTGCAGTAACGTGCTGCTGACGGCTCCCGTGGAAACCCGGGGTAAGACGGCGTCACCCTGGAAGGTGAGTTCATTCAGCTGATCAGAGGTCACCTCTGATGGCCGCAGTCACGGCCGACCGTGCTGACATCACACAGGAATTCAGGTGACCCGGCAGGCACCAGGTGCTGGTGAAAGTGGGGACATGTCAGCTGGTTGCCATGGCTACAGTTATCTTTATGCATCTGTATGACTGCTGACTGGTGTGTGTTTCCTGTGACCTTTGACCTCAGACCGTACGGTTGGGCGTTCAGACGACGGCTAACTTTAATTCCATCAAGGTAAGAGGAAGCTCTTCCCTTCCTGTCTGAGCGATCCGTCTCCAGGTTTCCTCGTCCGGCGTCCAGCCCGCTGGCGTCCACCTTCATCTCACTGGGTTTGGTTTCTCTCCAGGAGCTGAACAACCGCTGGCGCTCGCTGCAACAGCTGGCTGAAGACCGGAGCAACATGCTGGGCAGCGCCCATGAGGTGCAGCGCTTCCACAGGTACCCCGCACACTTATGCGCCGCTTACGAGTCAGTAGAGTTTGGACCCACACTCAGACGGAGTTCTGATGTCTTCTCAGAGACGCTGATGAGACCAAAGAGTGGATCGAGGAGAAGAACCAGGCCCTGAACACAGACAACTACGGCCACGACCTGGCCAGCGTTCAGGCTCTGCAGCGTGAACATGAAGGCTTTGAGCGTGACCTGGCAGCTCTGGGTGATAAGGTCCGCTTCCTGATCGGTACCAGGACCCGGGTTGTCTCTGGAGACACGTTCTTCATGGTTCTGGTGACTCCACCCCAGCCGTTCCTGATCAGCAATCAGCGGGGTGCTTTCCTATTTAAGGTGGATGGAGGACACAATTTGACGCCGAAGATTGCCTCAGTTTTGGTAGTAACCAGCCACTCGTGTTACCTCTAGTGTTCCTAGGATTAATGTTATGTCGTAGTGTTTTTGCTCTTATATTGGATTTACCATTCTTCAGGATTCCTGTCGACCTCATTGGATACTGACCTCTACTCCAGGATTTGGATATTCAACACACGGACCTTATCACCACCCTCCATAACCCACCTCTCATCTCACCCAGTGCCCCATCCACCAGGACGCCCCGCTTCTCTCCACCTCTGCTCCCTCTCCTGCGCTTCCCCCGGCTCTCTACCTCTCCCTCCTCCAGCCAACACGTACACCCACCACAGTAAGTCTGCTGAACATCTCTGCCTGACTACAATGGATTTTGAAACCAGAACCTATGCTCACCTGTGTTCTCCCTCCTCCAGACGCTGAGCTGTTGTTGCAGTTCCAACCAGACTTATCTGTGCACCTTAAGTTCCTCCTTATAAATAAATAATTTTTTCTATCAGTTTTTGGTCAGTGTTGTATTCTGCATGTCTTGGGTTAAGTATCTTCCTCCAAACATGACACTCCTCTTCAAAGAGCAAATCTGTTCAGCACAATCTGACAGACAGACCACCATTCTTCTGTCATGATGCTGTACAGAACATTTTTAGAGTTTTTCTTTTTAAAGATAAATAGGATTACATTTAAAGAGCAATACTTGCACATTATCATTTTCCCACACTTCTGTATAACTGTATTTTGTTGTTTTTCAATAAAGAATGACAAATTATTTAAGTTTGGTTTTTGTTGCACACAAATATATATCTGTAAAAAATATCTACAAAGCTAATGTTTACATAACAAGTATGATTGGGTTTTGCAATACGGCACTATTTTAGTAAGATTTTTAAACCAAGTACAGTTAGTAAAGAACACATTTCTATTGTCTGCTAAGAAACTGTTGGGATTTAAAATGGGCCTGTTGTACAAATAACTTGTAAATGATTATTCCTCACTTTTGTCTTAACCAAAGAAATTCCAGTAATTGAGCAAAAACATTTATTTTTAACACTACAGTTTATAAAACAGGGCGCAAAGTGTCGGCACATGTATGTATGTCGACGGTCCACCCCAACCGAACCAGGAGACACAGACGTCAGGGAGGCCAAGGTTGTCTCCGAGGGTCTCTGCAGCTCTCTGGGCACCACGCCTCACTCAGCTGTCTCCAATGATCCAAATGGCTATGGAGAAAAAAATAACAGGTTTGTCATAATTGTTTAAAGTACAAAACCATACATGAAGTGGTGAGACAGGTATGTGGAACTTACAGTTGCTGCTTTGTGTAGCTGATGTTGGAGACACACAGGCTGCCATGGTGACATTTAAACAGATCTAAGAAAAAAATAAAAATGAAAATTAAAAACTCCCAGACCTCATGTCATATTTACTAATCAGCTATGGCTGATTTATTGTTTGGATCACAGTGAGTTACACTAATTCTAATATATTTTTATTTCTATTATACATACATACTTTTTAACTTATTTTCACATGACTGTTATCAGGCTCTCTTGTTCTGGTTCTGATGATAATTCCGTGTCTTCCAGTAAGTTATCTTGTGCTTACTTCATCTGTAGAATGTCTCTTTACTTTTGGTAAATTGTACTGAGTCCAGAATAAAGACTAGTTGGCTGTACAAGATACAAACAAGTATCACATTTTGGAAATATATGAAATGTATTTAGGCTGCATATTTAGCTCGAATACTAATAACTGCCATATTTTCCGGACAATAACTCGCACTTTTTTACATATTCTGGCTGGTCCTGCTACTTATACTCCGGAGCGACTTATATAACAAAATATGTAGGCTACACCGCGCTGCTGCGGGCCGACTCCGACCCGCCCAAGAATGAGTTCCCCTGTCCCGCTGGAAGGGTTTCAAACACCGCCAGCATCTGTTAGAGCCTGTGGCGGGGTGCTGAGGGCCGGCTCCAGCCCAGGAATGAGCTCTCCTCGCCGGCCGGGAGGGTTTGAAACACTGCCATCCTCTCCTCTGCTGGCTGTTGTTCATTCTGTTATGGTTACCGGTGCTTGTGTTGCAATGTGAAACGCTTGGTCTCAGATTTTGTAAGAAAGATAATAAAATGTCCCCCCAAAATACGACTTAAATATATTTTCTCTTCTTCATTATACATTTAATGGCTGGTGCGACTCAGGAGCGATAGCCCGGAAGATACGGTACTGAAAACTTGCTCACAGCAAAATGTTTTCATTACGGAAATAAATTATAAACTTACCGATTCAATACTTTTTTAATCCAGGTACTTGTCACTAACAGGCGCCGAAAACCTCCACCTAAACTCCGTGTGAGGTTCAGGTCGATGGGTGTTCCAGTTAGCTCCGGTTGGGTTGAAGCTAGGTGGCTACATCCGTTAGCTCGGCTCCCACCTCCGCGTTAGCTTTGGGTTAGCCAGGGTTAGCTTCAGGTTAGCTCGTAGCTAGTTCACACGGGTGTCGTCACTCGAGCCCAGCCTTACAGCCCCACCCTCAGCTCCTCCTCTCTTCCCTTTTATGGAATTGTCTGGGCTGGACGGAACCTGTGACACGGTCAAAATGACGGTGGTGGCCACCTCCCATTATAGACAAAAAACGTGTTATTGGAGTCTATCGAATCCGTTTGTCCAGTATGTACTGTCTATGGTTACAACCCAGGTGTCTAGGGGGCCTGGGGTAACATGGAGGACGTGTGACACAAGTGATAATTAACAAAATGTTTTCTTTTCTTTTTTTGCTGCTTATTCTAGTGGCAAAAGCAATTGATAGAACAGAAATGGGTCTTTGCCCCAATGATATCCAAAACTAACACAAAAGCGCTCAGATTCTCAAAAGTTAAATACAGAAAATACGAATTACTCTAACGAGAGCTCAAAAATACCTCAGAATGTAAACAATCTCTTTTTACCCATACTCTTCTCATTTTTCATCTCAAAGTCTTTAGTCCTAAGCAGGAGACAACAGACCAGAGGAAAGGCAGCTCTGCACTATTGTCCCCATTGGTGAGGAGCTCCAGCAGGTCCTTTAAACAATCAGTGGCTGATGAAAACACGGCACAGCTGGTGCAGGGAGCAGCAAGGGTGAGCAGACAGACCTAGTCTGCAGGCATGCTCCTCAGATGCAGCGTCAATGAGGGGAAAAAATTGCACAGTGTTCAGCGTGAAAAATTGAAGGTGTGGCATGAGAGCATGTGAAGGCTGTCAGATGTGTGACTTGGCAGCTCTGATACTAACAAGTAAGACTCCAAATCCACATTCATTTCTACTGATACCACAGCAAATAATTAAAGGTGTGGTTGACTGAAAAACACATTTTAAAATGTTTTTTCTTATTATAATCAGTCACTATGAGTTCTCCATGCAGGCTGAACATGAACATAGTCTCTTACACCTGGCTCCTGCTTTAGTTTCTGATAGACGGTGAAACGTTAGATTTAAAAATCCTGACAGATCCATGTCACACTGTTCCTTGACATTGAGGACTCACCCAGCTTGACTCACATTTTTGTTTTTAACGTCCAGACATCAGCAGAGGATGTCTCGGCTAGTCTAAGCTAACCTTTAGCATAAGCAACTTCACTTCACGGCAGAAGGCCTCCTGGCTTGTGTCATTTGTGGAGATGAAACAACCATGTTGCAAACCGGAGGTCCCAAATAGCAGGAAAGAAGCTTAACTGTGATGTTGCAGTCCTGGGGTCTTATTTATAAAGCTTGCTTATGCACAAAACGGGGTCGGAAAACTGTGTAAGCAACTTTCCACGCAAACTTTAGGGTTTACAAAATAAGAATATGAATACACCTTCCAGTGCTACTTGGACACGTCATCAGTGAAGAACCGAGGTGCACTGGTGAGATCATGCAGCCACATCTTCGGTTGCTGCCCGGGATGCCTCATTGGACGCTTTGTCCAGAGTCACTTGGGGGAAACAACGATATTTGGTTTTGTTTTATACTTTAATGACGTACACATTTGATCTGCATTAAAAAAAGGCTTAAACATTACCAGCAGGCGTGCACATAAGTGGTCCGCAGGTGTGCAAGCTCTGTCAAAATAAACAATGCACAGTTGAAAAAAAGCTGCAGCACGCATTTGCGCACCTAAGATTTTGTGGAGGAAGGAAGACATTTCTGGAGCATTTTAAAAATGTCCAAGAAGCAAGCTCCATTAAGTAATTATTTTGGTGTTCCTCCGCCTCCAAAAAAACGCCAGACTGAGTCGGAACCGCAAAAGAAAAGAGTATTCGCGGAGAAGTGGCTGCAGAAGGTCGGCGGGCTTCAAACAAACGATGAACGCACAGAGATGTGGTGCTGATTATGCCGTGAAAATCCCACCCTGGCAGACAAAAACAGCGCCTTTTACATAGGCACTGAAAACTTCAATCATCCAGCGTTTGATAAACATACTAACAGCAGAGAACATCAGAAAGTTTCTTCTGCTGTGTTTGAACTGGAGGAAGCCAGTCAGGATAGTGAGGAGGATGATGATGATGAGGATGAGAGTCCGTAGAAATAAAAACGGCATTTATGCCGTTTAAAAAATTTCAGTGCTCTGAAATAGTAATTTTGTTAAGTGCCTTAAAATTCATTTTTATTTGATTTTTGTTATCACAAAAGCAGCTGTTTACACATTGTGTTTTACATTCAGACAAATCAGTCGTGTTGTTTGAAAATTAGAAGGTTTAAGTTAAGCTAGCAATATGTTGTGTCACGAGCTGACTGGCGGATCCGTAAAAACACCCAACACAGAATGACAGTTTAACGATGTTTATTAAAAGGAGAGAGGCAGAGGCTAGGTCAGGAGGCAGGAGGTCGTTACCAGGAGATCTGAATAGAGAATAGTCCGTAGGGGAAATCCAAGAAGCGGTCGGGGATGGAGCAGGATCAGAACCAGAGGATCAGAGCAGCAGCGGAGCAGACAGGGTAAATCCAGTAGTCGAGGTCGGGGACGGAGCAGAGTTCGGGATCAGAAGACAAGGTGAGTAACCGGCTGGAAGATTTACTTGCAAGGCTTTCAATAATCTGGCAATGACTGGGTAGCTGAATGGATCTTTTATAGCAGGAGGAGCAGGTGTGGTGAATTAGGTTGATGACGGAACAGGTGGAATGAATGGAGCTGATGAGGTGCGGGCTGTGCTTGCTGTAGCAACAGGTCTTCAACAGGAGCAGGATCATGACAGCCCCCCCCCCCCCCCCTCAAGGACCGGCACCAGCTGGTCCACCAGGCTGGTCAGGATGGGTCCGGTGGAAGTCGCGGATGAGGGACCCATCGAGGATGTCCCTGGCAGGAACCCAGGAACGCTCCTCAGGGCCAAACTCCTCCCAATCCACCAGGTACTAAAGTCCCCGACCCCAGCGCCTGGATCGTAAGAGCCGCCTGACATCCCAAACCGGCCCACCCCCCACCAGCCGGGCGGGCGGAGGGGGCCCGGAGGTGGGCACAAGTGCCGAGGAGACGACGGGCTTGATCCTGGAGACGTGGAAGGTGAGATGGACGCGAAGCGGCCTGGGGAGACGGAGGCGGACCGCTGCAGGATTGATGACCTTAGACACAGGGAAGGGTTCAATGAATCGAGGAGCCAGCTTGCGGCAATCCACCCTGAGGGGAACATCCTTAGTGGACAACCAGACTCTTTGCCCAAGACTGTAGGTAGGAGCAGGTATGCGACGACGGTTGGCCGAGCGGGAGTAGACTGCAGAGGAGCAGACAAGGTTCCTGCGGGCTATCCTCTATGCT